AGTGAAATTTCCGGAAGTGGGCGATTGATTAATTGTTTTTTCTGTTTTGATTTCACCTTTTTAAACATCGAAACTGTAAAGCAAAGCTGAAATGGAACGTGGGTCGAACTCAGAATCGACTAATAAAGCAGATAAACAAAAGGGTAAAAAATTGGGTTCGAAAATCGAGCCATTTGTAACACAAGGAGACCACAATGCGAGAGATTTGAGATCTTGGGCCAAGAGAACCGGCTTTGTTTCTATTTTTTCCGGCGAAGTTGGGACTTCGAGAGGTAGGAGTAGTACGAACAGAGATGGGTTTCGTGGAGAGAGCGGCGGAGGTTCAATGTCTCCGAAGATTGAAAGCGATCCTGTTCAGGCAACAACTAGGAACAGAAGCTTCGAAATCGAACCGGATTCAAACAGGAATAGAAACAATAGTGAAGCCGATCCCATTTTACCAGAAAGGGGGGAAAATGAAAGAGGAAACAGTGAAGCTTCTGCAAATTGGAATAACGGTGAGCATAATAAGATAGACGATGAATATGTTGGTAGACACGAATCCATTGATATAGCATATCCCGGAGGTAAAGGAGAATCGGAATGGAATCAACCAGAGATGAAGTATGGAATTAGAGACAACCCTGGTTTTGGTTTGTTTTCTCCATCATCTTTCACAAGTAGTTTATCTATATTTTACTTCATGAACAACCAATCATTCAATTCTCTCTCTGAATCGCAGCATCCCTCATCTATTATGGTATGCAGCACTATCTTTCACTCGCTGGTTCACTAATTTTCATCCCCTTGATCATTGTCCCATCCATGGGTGGAACCGATGTCAGCCATTCTTCCTTTGTAACTTCTTCACTTTTCACTTATTAAACCAATGGCGAATTCACAATCCACCATTTTGACATAATTTCTTAACAGAAGGATACATCCACAGTGATTTCCACAATAATGCTGGTTTCGGGTTTAACAACAATATTACACTCATACTTTGGGACACGACTCCCACTGGTTCAAGGGAGTTCATTCGTCTTTTTGGCTCCAGCTTTAGTCATCAGTAATTCTCATGAATACCGAAATCTTACCCAAAATGTAACCTTTTCTAAAATCTCAAATATCTCTTTTATCTCATATCACCTTCCCTAATTACAAATATATAAATCGTTACATTCAGAAATTTAGACATATAATGAGGGAACTACAAGGCGCTATAATTGTCAGTTCGATCTTTCAATGCTTATTGGGATTCAGCGGTTTAATGTCCTTGTTCCTAAGGTAACTCCTACAAATATATTCATACAATAATAGTGAAAAAAATTGGAAACAAAATAAAACCTAAATGAAATATTCTGTTACAGATTGATAAATCCGGTTGTGGTTGCACCTACTATTGCTTCCATAGGGTTGGCATTTTTCAGCTATGGTTTCCCTCAAGCTGGTAGTTGCATCGAGATCAGTCTTCCTCAAATACTATTAGTGCTTATTTTTTCTCTGGTGAGTGTCACATTTAATCGTTAATTTTTTTCATATATTCGTAACATTGTTTCGTTTGTGTAGCACCTTCGTGGAGTATCTATCCTAGGACATCGAGTATTTCAAATATACTCTGTATGTTACTTTTTCTTATTTCTAATTTATAAATTTATAAATTTATAAATTATAAATACTTCCATCATAATTATTTAATTTTAAAAAATATAGGTTCCTTTGAGCATAGGAATCGTATGGGTGTACGCGTTTTTCTTGACAGCTGGAGGAGCATACAACTACAAAGGATGTATCTCCGACATTCCAAACTCAAATATGTTAAATGATTCTTGCATTAAACATGCATATACAATGAGACATTGTAGAACTGATGCATCGAATGCATGGAAAACTGCTGATTGGGTTAGGGTACCTTACCCTTTACAATGGGGTATCCCTATATTTAATTTTAAAACCTCCATTATCATGATTATTGTGTCCTTGTTGGCATCTGTTGACTCGGTGGGAACATATTACTCAACATCAACACGTGTGAATTCAAAACCTCCTACACGTGGGATTGTAAGTAGAGGAATTGGAATGGAAGGGTTTTGTAGTATATTAGCTGGGATATGGGGAACTGGGGGAGGGTCAACAACTTTGACCGAAAACACACACACCATTAATATCACAAACGTAGCTTCTAGAAGATCCGTGGAGCTAGGTGCAGTTATCTTAATCATCTTCTCTTTTGTAGGTATTAATTAATAATTACTAATTTACTATTATACCCTTTTCCTCGTAATCTTTCATATCAACAAATACAAACAACAGAATCTGATTATTTCAGGTAAAGTGGGAGCAATTCTTGCATCTATACCACAAGCAATGGCAGCTTCACTTTTGTGCTTTGTGTGGGCCCTAATTACAGCATTGGGAATTTCAACATTGAGATATACTCACACTAGAAGCTTCCGGAACATTATGATAGTTGGTGTATCATTGTTTTTGGGATTCTCTATACCTGCGTATTTTCAAGATTATTATCAAGAAACGGCTTTCATTCTACCTGGATACTTAATTCCTTATTCAGCAGCATCTGATGGGCCGATTCGCTCTGGAAATGAACAAGTAATTTACTTTTTTACCCTTGTGTAAAACCCATGTCTCCAATTTTGAAGATTTGACATCTTTCTTCATGTCATTGTCAGATTGATTTCGTAATGAATGCGCTTTTATCAATGAACATGGTGGTGACATTCTTGGTGGCGATAGTACTTGACAACACTGTATCATGTAGTCAAGAAGAACGCGGTGTGTACCTTTGGAGTGTTGTTGAGGATTTGTCTGTAGATCCATCTTGTCTTGATGATTACTCGTTACCAAAAAAGGTTTCTAAAGTTTTTGGGTGGGCGAAATGTTTGGGTGCATGATGAATTGATGATGAGAGGATACATGATAACATTTTTATAGACGATTTGTTTGTTTATTTAGTGTGTTTAAGGAAAGAGCTAAATGTTTTGGGGGTGTTTATGTTGAATTATATTGAAATATAGGATTGAATGTGTTTGTGTACTTTGTATAAGATCATGTAAGTTTTATTGATTAGATATAGAAAAATTATTTGTAGGGAGATATGATTTAGTTGTATTTGATGAGACCATTGATGTATTGATTGGAAGGAAGCGAAGAGATGTAGTTTTTGTTGGTGATTTGTATTACTAATATTATTTAATTGTAAAGATATTAATTTGTTGACCAATGCAATATTGATGAATATTAAGCAAGGATGGTGCAGAGTGATCACTTGAGTTTATTCAAGATTCAAAGTACACTGTTTGGGTCCGGGGGCGACGCCTAGTGCACATAGTAACGGGGTCTAAAGGGTAGAGCACCTTTTTGGGTTAATATTGCTTTATAGAAAATGCATACAAATCCAAATTTGAACATTTTGATCAAAATTTGACCCTAATGATTTTGCCCTTAATGTTGACCTTCGTGGTCAACCCAACCCTTGACATGGAACCGTTTTTGTGGTAGTTTCGTGATAGTTTTGAAAATGCTTTATGATAGTTTATGTTGTTGGTTTTCAGACAAGGGTATTATATCTGTTTTTGGTCATTAATCTGGTATATATATGATCATAACTTCTGACATTCTCTATTATGGAACATCACTAAATTTTATCCAATTGAGATTTTGAAAGTATCATTGAAATATCTTAATTTGATAATGCAAACAGTAAATCCAAGCAAGCTCCATTTACCCTATTTGAAGATGGAATCAAAGTAATTGTGTTCTTGTTGAGAGGATTCTTATGTGATAAAAGTTATGTCATAACGGAAATGGTGGAAATGAACAGAACTTTAAATAGTTAATTTAAGAGAGGTAGAATGTCCATAGAGCTTTTATAGGGATTATTTGGAAATTAACATAAATTTAGTTATTTTTTTTTAAAAATTAACATAAGAGTGAGTCATAAAATGAAATATTGCAAATTACAATATTGACTTCTAGGTTGATACAGTGGATGCGTAAATAGTTAAGGACATCCCAAATTATTTATCTTACATTCTACCATTTGGATGCATGACTATTTATATAAAGTATTCTTAAATGACATGTGACATGTATACCTCTGTATAAGTATTACGTTCAACACGCTTATAAATTCGATGATCACATAAGACCAACATTATTAATTTGTGGAACAGCGGAAGCAAAAACTAATTAGGAAGAAATTATAAAGAAAAACATATTAGAGTACCAATACCACACATGTACTGGTAAACTCTAAAAGTGTAAACAGTCTACCTATACCACACATGTACTGGTGAAAGTCAGCTTTGACCTTTACTTCTACTTATTAACATATTTGGACCCTAATTTTAAACATGAGTTACATTTAACCCATAATCTCCACCTCGATGAAATCCATTTTAATACATTAATGCATCTGAAATGGAAGTGCAAGTGTGCAACCTTATGACTACTGAGCTCGAAAATGTAACTTTGTGTCATCCTGACATCCTATAATTTCAGCCCAATTTGAAAAATACGTTTATGCTTTTAAAAGTTACAAATTTTATAAAATCTATAGCAAAATATCCCAAAATATTAAAACATTTATAAGAGACTGAAAAATGTTTAGAACAACAATGGTTGCCAAATTGGTAACCAAACGCGTAAGTTAAGCTTAAAATATCAAGTTCGAATCTAATTAAGGGTAAATAAGAATGAGGATGATCTTATAGAATATAGGCACACAATTGAATACAAAGACACTTTATCAATCTAACCTATAATGAACCAGATTATAATGATCACATATTAAAAAAATGAAGACGGAAAAGATATATGGTTTTCCCTTTGTCCGGTAGTTGTTATATCAACACTTGACATTTTCACTTGATATATTATAATGTCACATATATAAACTTTTAACATTAATTAACATACTTGTCACATCACGTTGTCGAGTCGATGATTCCTCATCCAACTTTAACAATGGCGTTTGGAGGTGGGTCACATCACCTTTGTTCTCATTTTGTAACTTTTGTTGGTGCCACACAACATCCCAAGAACCTTATCAACCCTCTAGATTTTCCTATACCATTAGGATCACCTTTGTTAAACTTATAATTGTCATTTCTTTTGGTTGGAACACATATTTTCCTTTTCCTCAAATCGCTGATATGCATCTCTGTGGGGAATCTAAGTGACCCAAATCCGAACATAAACACGTACCATCTTGATTTTGACTTTGAAGTAAGTATAGACACCTTTCTTTCCATACTCCCCCCATGATGCATGTCTAGTGGCTTCTTGTTTTCATTTTCTTGTATGTTCTTGGAAGAAACATGAACAATTTTCCCACAAAAAATAATGGGATTCGTTAAATCATGAGAAGTTATCCCTATCTCACTTGAAAACTCAAAATCTTGTTCATCTTGATCACTCATACTTGGCCCTTCTATCCAAGATTCAACATTCTCGTCACAATAAATGGAAAAATCAGAAAGAGACATGGTGTCTTCATCTTCTTCTCCTGATCTTTGTAAGGCCGAAGGATCACACTTTTCCATGGACAAAAACATCAATTTTTTGTTTTGAGTGTGTGAAATGAGAAAAGAAATCGAAGTTATGGTTTACAAAGTAACATGAGTTGCTGAGGATGTATGCATATATGGTTATATATAGTTAGATATTCATGTTGACGTTGTCATGGGCAGATTAGTAAATTTAAAATGATTCTAAATGTGCCAAATGGCTAAAAGAATGGTTTTATGTTTAATATATTTGAGAAGCAAGAAAAATGCTTCGTCCTTCAACATATAAAACAATAATTTATTTGTTTTACTTTTGATATATTATGTCATAAAAAAGTATGAAAAAGAATATTTCAATCTCATTGACTTAGAGCTTATAATACTTTCTTCATTTGTTGTTTCAGAAGAATGTTATATTAGTGTTCCTTGATGGGTTCAAAACCTTGTTTTTTTAATAATAATATAAATAACCAAATAACATGATATAGAGACTTAGAGCTTAAAAAACTTTCTTAAGTTGTTCTTTCATAAGAACTAGATTATAACCCGCGTTAAACGCGGGGAACATACAAAAAAAATATAAATTGTTGAATGTTATATATGTGGATAACTTTTTATATTAAAAAGAATTGGATGCATTAATGGGTTAAAATGAATTTTTTTTCAGTGCTTCGATACATATATTAAACAAAATTAATATCATAAAACAAAATAAGAGATGAGTTGATGATTAAAAAATTTACCTTACATTTGATATCTTTTCTATCAGCTACTAATTAGCATGGTGAATAACATCTTTAACATGATGGTCAATCAATACAAAAGAAGCAGACTCATATTCATATTGAACACGAATTACGACCATCACCGTAAAATTATAAAATGACACTTTAATGGACAATGAAATAAAATTGGAAACATTTAAATATAGATTAATGGTACAAGAACTTTACAAACGTAACATTATGAACTTACTTGCTATAAACATCAGAAACTCCATCACAACAATCACAAGTAAATGGTTCAAAATTAGTATCACCATCATTCTTACTTACTTTTTTTGAATAGTCACGACAATAAAAAGAATACCAGCATTCGTCTAAATCAAAACCGATGACAGTAACAATGATGGACAAACCAATTTCCTATTTCAATATATATATATATATATATATATATATATATATATATATATATATATATATATATATATATATATATATAAAGTCATACATATATTCATCATCATGCTGTAACGACCCAATTTTTACGTCCGAAATTTTCATTTTTAAAATATTACTTTAGAAAACATTAATAAATAAAAACATTGTTTGATCACACCATAACACATCGTAACCATGTTCTAAAAAGTCAAACCATACATCCCATCAAAATATCAGAGTACAATCCCAGTAAATCTCGTAAATGCGGAAACCGAAGAGTGTGTGTATGACGTGCCGCTACCGCGCCGGCTCCTTCCCCTTCGATGCAGAGGTACCTGAAAACAAAACTGTAAACGTAAGCACAAAGCTTAGTGAGTTCCCCCAACGTACCACATACCACACAAACACATAACATACGTACTGCCAGGCTATTCTGGGGTGCCTGACTACCCGGTACGGCCATTCTGGGGTGCCGACCTACCCATACGGCCATTCTGGGGTGCCGTCTTACCCGTGTCAAGCCATTCTGGGGTGCTGACTACCCATGTCAAGCCATTCTGGGGTGCTGACTACCCATCGGTCCTAACAACCGATCCTCGGGGACTGGTCCCCTTCCGCTACCTCTATCGCATAACATAACAGACCAACATACAAGCATACCATCACATACAGTCAGATAATTCTGGGGTGTCTGACTACCCAGCGGTCCTAACAACCGAACTCTACTACTATTGCATATAACGTATCATGATAGCATATAACATAACAGGTAATAGCAAACCTAGATGATTTCACAAAGACAATCATCTATCATACGTCTCCTACTGGTGGGCCGGCATTGTGGCCTTAGACCCACCGCTACTGGAAGGTAACTCACCTCAAAGTAGCTGCTGAACTGATCGGGAACTAACTGACTGCTGCTGCTCCGGGAGTCCTCCGGCTGCAATTCCCACAACATACTCAATCAAACACTGCTAACTGTCCTTTAGGTAAAATGACCATTTTACCCCCGGTCTAGCTCTAAGCCAAAGCTAGAGTCAACTTTCAGTTGACCCGACTCGCCGAGTGGATCTCCACTCGCCGAGTCCCTAGCAAACTATTGTCCTGGGTCCCTGGTTCTACTCGTCGAGTTGGGCTATGACTCGACGAGTTCATCTTCTAACTGTCATTCAACTCCTTCATCCTACTCGCCGAGTTGTATGAACAACTCGTCGAGTTCATCTTCATCCGAAGAACACTTTATGCTAAGACTCGCCGAGTTGTATGAACAACTCGCCGAGTCTGTTCTTGATCTATGAAGATTGCCTTGGACTCGCCGAGTCAGGGCATTGACTCGCCGAGTCCTAACATGGGTGAGTTCAGCTCCCAACTCACCGAGTCACCCCCTGTGACTCACGGCTCAACTCGATACATCATGAAGGGACCAAATCGGTGACTCGCGACCAGACTCGCCGAGTCGCCAATACGACTCGCCGAGTCGCCGCCATGCATCCACCAAATACACCGATTTACTCGATTTCAGTCCATGCCATTCATAGATCTGGACTTCTAGGACACAAATCACACGTAAAGTTTCCAACTTTACGTGTGGATATTCACTAATGTGGATTTTAGGGTGCAAAATGCCTCAAAAGGGTAGATCTAGGATGAACAAGCCACATGGGGCCATAAAGCTAACAGATCTGAGCTCCTGGAGCTCAATCTTGCCTAGATCTAAAGGTTAATCCACTTATTACGAAACATTAAGCACAAACAAGCTTGAAGAATTGCTCAAGAGTGTCCCAAATGAAATCCTAAGCATAGAAACAGGGGAAAAACGAGATATACCTCAAGGAAAATGTTGAAATGACACAAAGATGGCTGATCTCCTTCTCCTCTTCTTGATCTACTCCTCTTTCTCCTCAAAACCTTCAAGAACACACCAAGAACACTTCAATCTCTCAAGGAAATAAGGGAAAACGATGTTGGGGGAGTTCTGGGGGTGAATGGGGACGAGTTGGGGCGGAATGAGGGTTTAAATAGGGTGCAAACCCTTGAAACTTAGGGTTTCATCCAGCAGCGGTGACTCGCCGAGTCCAGGATATGGACTCGCCGAGTCGCCCACTTAAACGTGTCCTGAGTCTCGTCCCTACTCGGCGAGTCGGACCTTATGACTCGCCGAGTCCAAGGCTAAAATAGGGCAATGCTCAAATAAAATTCACATACCGGAAACCAGGTGCTACAAATCTCCCCCACTTATTTTAGACTTCGTCCTCGAAGTCTGCTGCCCGGTCCTGAAACAGCTCGGGGTAATGCTCCATCATCTCGTCCATCGGTTCCCAAGTCCATTCCGAACCCTTGCGGTGCTGCCATTGCACCTTTACTAGTTCTACCCTCTTGTTTCTCAACGTCTTGGTCTTTCTGTCAAGTATTGCGACTGGGCGCTCAATGTAATTCAAGCTGTCATCAACCTGAATATCCTCCAACGGTACTACTGCTGAATCGTCCACCAGGCACTTCCGCAGCTGCGAAACATGGAAGGTGCTGTGGATCTGACTGAGCTCGGCTGGCAGATCCAGCCTATACGCCACCTTGCCCACCCGGGCTGCAACCCTGAACGGCCCGATGAACCTTGGGCCCAACTTGCCCCGCTTCCTGAATCGAATGACACCTTTCCAAGGCGACACTTTCAGGAGGACCATATCCCCGACTTGGAACTCCAAGTCGGATCGACGTCTATCGGCGTAGCTTTTCTGCCGACTCTGTGCAGTCTGAAGTCTGCTCCGAACCTGCTGGATCCTCTCGGTCGTCTCTAGCACCACCTCGGTGCTTCCCATGACTCTCTGGCCAACCTCCCCCCAACATATCGGGGTTCTGCACTTCCGCCCATACAACATCTCGAACGGGGTCGGTCAATACTCGCGTGATAGCTGTTGTTGTAGGAGAACTCAGCCAAAGGAAGATAGGTATCCCAGCTACCACCGAAATCCAGTACACACGCCCGCAACATGTCCTCCAAAGTCTGGATGGTCCGCTCACTCTGACCATCTGTCTGCGGGTGAAAGGCGGTGCTGAAATGCAGACGAGTGCCCAACTCGTCATGAAATTTCTTCCAGAATCTGGAAGTAAAACGCACATCCCTGTCCGAGATTACCGATACTGGCACCCCATGCCGTGCCACAATCTCCCTGATATAGATGTCGGCCAATTTTTCGGCCGATATGCTCTCCTGAATCGGAATAAAGTGAGCACTCTTGGTCAATCTATCCACGATGACCCAAATCGAATCCACTCCCCGTGCGGTCCTGGGAAGCTTTGTGATAAAATCCATCGTGATATCTTCCCATTTCCACAGTGGAATGTCCAACGGCTGCATCTTGCCATGCGGCCTCTGATGTTCGGCCTTGACCTTCCTGCAGGTCAAGCACCGCTCGACGTACCATGCCACATCCCGCTTCATGCAAGGCCACCAATAATCCGGACGAAGATCCCTATACATCTTCGTCGCCCCGGGATGAATAGAAAATCGGGACTTGTGCGCCTCCTCCATCAAAATCTGACGCACGCCACCGTGATACGGCACCCACACCCTACGGTGTAATGTCAAAAGTCCTCTGCCATCATAATCAAAGGAGGAAACCTGACCCACCACACGCTCGCTCTTCCGATGCTCCTCCTTGATAGCCTCCTGTTGAGCCTCCCGAATCTGCTCCAACAGGGGAGTCACCACAGTCATCCTCAAACAGACGTCCCTGATCGGCACCGTCTTGCGGCTAAGCGCATCGGCCACCACATTGGCCTTCCCCGGGTGGTAAAGGATCTCGCAATCATAATCCTTCACCACGTCCAACCACCGCCGCTGCCTCATATTCAGATTCGGCTGGTCCATGAGGTACCTCAAACTCT